TAAGCCTTGCATGTGCTTATTTTGCACGCTCAGTTTGTTTATGTTGGGTTTATTTTGCGCGCAATAGTACTGAAAACAACCCTGAAGCCAGTTGGCTTGAGCTTGCTAGAGGTGGTCGTAAGTCCGTTCACGTGGCAGTATGGCAGCCCGCGGCGGTGCAAGAGATGTGCAGACACGTGGTCGACGACGTCGTCGTGTCCCTGACAGGCCTTCGATTTCCGAGCCGTAATAACTTTTTCTACATTTTACATTTAAATATTTTAATTTTAGATATACATATATACAGTGGTGGTCGTATAATTAGAAACACCACCAACGGTCCTTACATTATGTAAGATACTTCACCGCAAACGTTTTTATTTTGAAATTAAACAATTAATCATCTATAGAAAAACAATATAAATCCCAGTGCACAAGTGCAGTTTCGATATTACATTACGGACAAACAGTTAAATCAGTTTTAAGGTATGAACAATAATGGTCAACTAATTAGAAACAACAAAACAGTATAAAAACATTTTTTTAAGTGTTAGTAATTAGTATTGCTATTTACGAAATAGCTACTATCCACAGCCTACCAATAGCTATTATTAATATTTAGTGACGTATCCCTTATTTTCAATAACAGCACTGCAACGACGTGGCATTGATTCAATCAATTTCAAATTTCATGCTTCAACAAATGTTTCATATATTTCGTTTTAACTAGTGTTATGTTTGTTTGAGACTTTCTTAATTCTTTTTAACAATATAGGTAGCAGAGATTTTCTATCGGGTTTAAATCCGGACTATTTGCTGGCCAGTCTAAAACGGATATACGCTGTTCGCTAAGGAAACATTGGACATTATTGGCCGTGTGCTTTGGGCCACTGTTTTGGGGGTGGGATTTGCTAAAAACTGCCCGAGCGCCTCCGAAGGAGACCTAACAACTCAAGAGCAATTGCGCGAATGAATCTACCACCGGATTGGAGTCGTGACCCGCTGAGAAGATCCGGCGAGAAACTCAGCGAGCTGCTGCATGGGTTAGGTTGTACGTCGACCTCTTTGTCGAGTTCGACGAGTACGGTTACCGGGGTCCCTAAGCCCGCTCCTAGTGTTAGACCTGAAGGCGTCTAATGCAATGGTTTTGTTTGTTTGTTTTGGATATTTTTGTATTGCCATTCATCCATTGTACCTTCAATCTTCCGCACGGGTCCAACTCCACATCCAATTTATTTTTGTTTTTGAAAATAACACTTTTCCATTCTCGTATTATAACATCCAATTAACTTTTTTTTTTTCGAATAATAATCGCTTCTTTCGGTTTTGCTTGGTAAGAAGCCACGTAAGAAGCGATACCTTTCGAGAGGTTCGTCCGAACAATTTAGCTTTCATTAATCTTCGGCGTATCAGTCTTGACGAGATATTTCTCGGGCCATCGGGCGAAAAAACTTCATTTTTAATCTGGTTGGAGCCTTTAATTGGGTCTTTTTTAGCAACACGAACGGTTTTTCTTGGTCGAGCCTTTCTAAAAAAAATTCAACAGTTCCATGTGTTTTATAATGGTCAATTGCATTAAAAACTTTCTTAACAGAACAATTTGAATGCGCAGCTATTCTTCAGCTTCTTAAACACACGGCCAATAGCGTCAAATGCTTCCTTAACGAACAGCGTATATTCGTTTCTGGCCAGCAAATAGTCCGGATTTAAACCTGATAGAAAATCTCTGGTTTATTGTTAAAAAGATAGTTTCAAACAAACGTAACACTGGTCAAAACGAAATATGATATGAAACATTTGTTGAAGCATGGAATTCAATCCCCTATAAAAATGTATGAAATTGATTGAAACAATGCCACGTCGTTGCAGTGCTGTTATGGAAAATAAGGGATACGCCACTAAATCTTAATATATATAAATCTCGTGTCACAATGTTTGTCCTCAATGGACTCCTAAACCACTTAACCGATTATAATAAAATTCGCACACCATGTGCAGTTCGATCCAACTTGAGAGATAGGATGGTTTTTATTTCGATGAATGGTCGCAATATTTATTAATTAACAATAAAATGATTTCTTATGTTGATTTTTGTTATTAATTGTAAGTTTCATAAGTCTAAAACAGATGGCGCCTTAAATCAGTTTTTACAGACAATTGTTATACTGTGACTTTAATATCTCATAGATGGCGCTGTGCTAAAAATACCAACGTTTCACATAAGCTACAATTTAATGGCATAAGCACCACGTGTTTCTGAGGCTAAAGTATAAGGAAATTTATTTCGTAGTAAACGCAATACAGTGAAATCCAATTGTTCTTACGTTGTCAATTTTTGGTATTAGCATAGGCGGCCGCGAGTTATTTAGAAACAAAAACCTAAGCCACAGCCACAGCAACGTGTGGCCGGGTCCGCTAGTATTAATTATAACTATTGGAAGGCTGTGGATAGTAGCTATTTCGTAAATAACAATTTTCATTACTTATTAATAACATATTATAAATAACAATACTAATTACTTATTACTTATTAGTAATTAGAATTGTTTTTCATACTAAAAAAATATCGTTTTTCATACTTTTTTGTTGTTGTTTCTAATTAGTTGACCATTATAGTTCATCCCTTAAAACTGATATAAATGTTTGTTTTTCTTTTTATTAATATAAAATTAATTTCTTTATTGATTTATTCCTTAAATATTTTTTTTAATGCCAATGCGTATTTCAGACTGCTCTGTGATACGCTGGAGAATTTACTCATGGGCCATCCCTTGGAGACGTAACTCCACCCTAAAAGGGTACGAGTTCTCTCTCCTAACGTGGAAAAAACGTAAGGTATTCTGATGTTTTAAATCTTTTTTGGTTTTGTCAGTAAAACAAATATCTATAGTAAACGAATATTTGTTACGGTTTTCAGAGCAGAATCTTTTTGGTCGTCCAAAGGGATGGTCCACCAACCAATACCATCGACTTCTCGCGGATAAGAAATCCCTTCACCCATGCTTGCATAAGTATTTATCAAACAATTTTTTATACGTTTATTTTTTTTGTTAAGTTTAAATGTTATTAAATAATTGTTTTATTTTACAGAAGTCCGGGGCTTGCGATTATACTGTAAAAATTTGTCGACAACTGTAAGTTCATCTCTTCATCTTTTTAAGATAAAACCCATTATAGACCAGTTGAATGGCAAATTTTCGGAATTACATATATAATATTTTACCAGAAAATGTGGCTCCCGATGAAAGCTCTATGTGGAAAGGTTGGTTCAACATCAATCAATTTATACGAAACAAAGCAGCGACAGTTGTAGTCAAGCCGTATAAAGTCTGTGAGTCCAAGACTGGATATTTGTGGCGTTTTGAAGTGCACGCAGGCTAAGAGACCTCGACAATTCAAGACGATGATCCAATCTCTGGAACAGTATCATCTCTCGTGCTCAGACTACTGAATGGTCATGAGCACAAATGCTACTTACTACATGGATGGACAATTTTTACAACTCTCCAGCACTAGCGCGGGAACTGAAGGTCCGGGGATTCGACTGTGTGAGACGCTCCGTACACTGGTGGTAGGACCTCTTGAGTCCGCGCGGGTGGGTACCACCACCCTGCCTATTTCTACCGTGAAGCAGTAATGCGTTTCGGTTTGAAGGGTGGGGCAGCCGTTGTAACTACACTTGAGACCTTAGAACTTATATCTCAAGGTGGGTGGCGCATTTACGTTGTGGATGTCTATGGGCTCCAGTAACCACTTAACACCAGGTGGGCTGTGAGCTCGTCCACTCATCTAAGCAATAAAATAAATAAATAAACCGCCAATTTGTTTTCCATCCGAATTGGCGAATATATCCAAAAAGGACGTGACAGTCGGTCAAGTGGTGGGTTGCGCCTCGGAAGACGTGGATGTCATGGTGTGGAGGGATAAAAGCCGCGTGGCTTTTATTTCTACATACCGTGGCGTCTCAATTACCAAGTGTGGCGAGACACTGAAGCCGACCATTGTGCGGGATTAAAACGTTTATATGGGCGGAGTCAACCGCAAAGACAAGCCACTTTCCATGTATCCCATCGAAAGAACGCGGACCCGAGTTTGATATAAACAATTGTTTAAAAGGCTCTTGTACGCTGGTGTCCCAAACGCACACATTTTACTAGCAAATCAATTATTGACGCACTGGCAATTTCGGAAGGCGTTGATAATTGATTTATTTTCGCACACTGCATACACTCCCTTCAACCCTCAAACACCATCGCATACAACCGATATAACCTATACATAGATAATGAAATTTATGTTTCATCTGCATAAGCACAAAATTCAAAATACAAAATGAAGATTTAGAATGACTACACTAGCACCATCTAGTGGAGAATTGAGAATAGTTACCATCAAAACTGTTTTATCAAAAAGCATTGACAGTGTTCAGGGTTATTTTAGGTTATGAAAGAAATTGTATTTGAAAAAAATGTTTTTAATATACTTTTTATGTTTGTAAAAAATGTAATTTAATATTTCCTTGTCACTCCTTAAGCCCCTGTGGCCTAATGGATAAGGCATCGGCCTCCTAAGCCGGGGATTGTGGGTTCGAGTCCCACCAGGGGTACTTTTTAGGAACATGTTTTTGTTTTTTTTCATCTTAATTATTTGATTTATAATTTTGATTCGTGAAACAATCTTCCAGACAGTCAAATCATTAATTTACATTTTTTAAATAACCAAATTTATTACAATTAATTATAACTAGTAAGTACAATTATGTATTTGTTTGCAAAATTTAGACTGGTTAAATTGATAACCATTGTCGAATGCAGCTCCAGAAAAAAAATTAAGAGGACACATTGCTGTGGAATCCAATTCACACTTTAACTTAAAGGTACGGTGGCAGCATTAATGTTTTAATTTTCATAGGCTCTGGCAGCCACTTAATTTAATGTTTGCTCGCACACTATACAATATACCATTATATACCAATATACCATCTATACAATAAAAAAATAACTCAGACGCTATATAAAGTTTTATTTTAATAAAAATCCTAAAAGTATTATATAAATGAACAACATCCTGATCTCGTTCGTATTAGAAGATCCTGTAAGCGGTAAACAGCGAAGCCCAGAATGTCGGACGTAGTAACCGACTTGATGAGGAAGACGACAGTCGTTATCTGATAGAAAAAAATGTCTGTTATTTATATTTATAATGTGCTTAAATCAATAATAAATGTAAATAATTATGTACATTTGTGGATAATATATGCATGCTCATCGTTTTAGTATTTGAGGAGTGAGGGTTTTTTTCGTCTTATAAGAAGCATTGCTAATAAAATGTTTTTTTTTTAAATGTATAAAAGTAAATTTTGTCGTTATACATTACATACTACATACTATTTAGATGGATATGTTTACTATTTTCAAAACTTTGCTTCAAGGCGCCGTGGCTTAGTTGGTTAAAGCGCCTGTCTAGTAAACAGGAGATCGGGGGTTCGAATCCCCCCGGGGCCTGACTTCAGAAATGTTCTGAAGTACGTTTTTGATTATTTTTTAAAAAGTTTAGTCTTACTTGCACATAAATTAGAAGAGTTTATTGCTGTTGATATAAAATGAGCTGGAGGACAAAATTCCGGTGACGGACATGGCGTGGTAAAATTGAACGTGAACAGTTCACGTTCCGATAATGTACGACAGTCGTGAGACGCGTCAGCTCCGCGCCATGTACATATCAATAGTCGACCTTGGCCGTCGTTACGAAACTAAAACAAAAAAAAAGAATTAGTCCTGTAAATTAACAAAATGCTGTTACATACTAGCATATTGTTGCCTTTATTAAATATGCGCATAAAGAAGTGTAGATGGCGCTTTTGCATTGAAATAGTGAATCAGTGAATTCACAGATGGCGTTACAAAACTAGAATACGTTGAATTTACATTCATAGTCGATTTGTACGTACTGAAAAAGAAAGACAAACTAGCGGTAACAATGTATACAATCTTTATAAGCAACCTGTGTCTGTATGTTGTGAAATTATTATTGTCAACGAAATTTGAAAATGTTGATATCTACTATCAGCAGATGTCGCTTTAATAAAGAATAATTTGTACCTGAACTTGAACCAAGGCTTGTTGTTTCAAATAAAAAGGATGTATTCTGTAATGTGTTTGCCGGTTGGGTAAGACGAAGTCTTCATATTCAACTTGTTCAAATATGGTATCGTTAACTTGACACTGGGCCCCCATTAACCTCATCGGTATACTACTTTGCACTACGTACGTGTCCACCGCGTTGATTACGTCATTCACTGAAGTTGATGTCGTCTAAAATCATAATGTTAATATGGATTAATTATTAAATAAAATTCCAACATTTATTGTTTAATTGAATTAATTCACCGTGGGCAATTTTATATCCGTCTGGAAGCTTTTTATGTATGAAGCCGGGATTTTTAATATTTCCTGCTAAATTATCAAGTTTTTTTTTATTTTTTTTTGCTTAGTTGGGTGGACGAGCTCACAGCCCACCTGGTGTTAACATCTACAACGTAAATGCGCCACCCACCTTGAGGTATAAGTTCTAAGGTCTCAGTATAGTTACAACAGCTACCCCACCCTTCAAGCCGAAACGCATTACTGCTTCACGCACCCGTGCGGATTCACAAGAGGTCCTACCACCAGTGAAGAACCAGCTTACATAAAAAGGCAGCCCGGTGATGCGAACCCATGAGGTTTCACGACACTCCTTATGATAGCCTCAACAGTTAAAAGTAGGGATAGGCACAAAGTGATACAAAATAACGATAACACTGATAGTAGCTACGACGAAAATGTACTAAGGTACATTTTGGTTTTCATTTTTCTCATTGAAATAAATATAAAACCCCGATTTAAATTGAATACTTCCTTACCGTAACGAACAGCTCAGAATAATCTAAATATTCATTGTTGATGTTCTGAAAATCAGTCACGTCCCGCGCGACGTAAGAAAAGTATACGTCAAAGAAGCTATTTCTCAGTGTACTCATGAGGCTCCGGGCTCTCTCCATCTCCGTACTGGACGGTCGATCACTCGGACTAATAACGAGCACAACAGTACTGACTCCAGCACTAGCCTGACTCTCTATTTCATTTAAAGTCCTATTGAGTGAATACCGAATGGCAGTCGATATTATGTTTGGTAGATTCAAACGATTTGGCCCTGAAAAACGATGAATGATGAAACATTTTAACGTAAGGAGTGCGAGTGGAAATAGTGTTTTGAAAATAGTTTTTTTTCTGATTCTGATCTGATTCACATTCTCCTACACAGACTCAGAAGGTCAGGAATAACACTAATGTTACAATAGAACGGCCTGTCTAAAACCAATAACCTTAGTTGATTGATGAAAATATTTATATTATTCTCTTCATATTTTCACGAACTGTAGACAAAACTATTTCTGCCTGCCAAAACTATTTTTAATGGTTCAAAATCCGGTGGTAGGACCTCTTGTGAGTCCACGCGGGTAGGCTCCACCACCCCGCCTGATTCTGCCGTGAAGCAGTAATGCGTTTCGGTTTGAAGAGTGGGGCAGCCGTTGTAACTATAGTTGAGACCTTAGAACTTATATCTCAAGGTGGGTGGCGCATTTACGTTGTAGATGTCTATGGGCTCCAGTAACCACTTAACACCAGGTGGGCTGTGAACTCGTCCACCCATCTAAGCAATAAAAAAAAAGATTCCTCGAAGAACTTCTTTTGCTAGGGCTAGTGATAGAAAATTCTCTCAGGTTGAATCTAAGAGCTCAGCAGGCGTAACTGGAATAATCCCTTAGGCTACCAGCGAGTAGGTAGGGAAGAAGAAAACGGTTCAATCACGCGTTAATTATTTCCGTTATTTCACGAGTGCTTCTCGAAATTACACCACAAAAGTAGTTTTAATAATAATCTATTAATTCTATAGAATACTATAGTACCTAATAAAAAACAGTAACTATATTTCACCACAGCATGCAGTCGGTACCTGTAACTGTATTAGCATTAAATCTTAGTTTGTCGTGATTAATCTATGATATTATTTATGTCGGATATCTTCTATATTTTATTTATTTATTGCTTAAATGGGTGGACGAGCTCACAGCCCACCTGGTGTTAAGTGGTTACTGGAGTCCATAGACATTTACGACGTAAATGCTCCACCCACCTTGAGATATCAGTTCTAAGGTCTCAAGTATAGTTACAACGACTGCCCCGCTCTTCAAACCGAAACGCATTACTGCTTCACGGCAGTTTCGCTTTCGCATTCGCTTTATTCGTCTTATTTGACTATAATATTCATTTTTTAGTGTATTATGCTGATTATCACATCCTATTTATGGGTCAAAATATAATTGATACATTTTTAAAATAATCAAACCATTTAAATAATGTATTACGTACACGTATCTGTGAAATTTTGTACGTGTGAAAACAGTGCCGTTAAATTATTTGAGGGCGGTGCAATCCACGCCCCTGTGTTTCCGTGCAATAATGATATTGTACTCTTCATCAGATTCATCTCTAGAGCTCCACTGACCCACCTGCAAATGTATTAAAATCTAATTAATTAAAAATAATAAGATTTTTAAGGGACTTTATGACCTGGTAACTAAGACCTTTAAGTCGTGTCTTAGAGAGAGAGAGAGAGAATACACTTTATTGCACACCAAAACACAATTTACATTCAAAAAAACAATCAAAAAACAGATAAATTTGTACAATAGGCGGTCTTATCGCTAAAAGCGATCTCTTCCAGACAACCGTTTAATTTATAGAAATTCTGGAAAATATAAAAAAATATAGCAGGTATGTTGCGGTGTACTATAGATANTCTCAGCCAGTGAAGATTCAAGTGGATTCATAGTAACAGAGCAGTGAAGTGTGTAGAAGTAATTAATTGTAAGGATAACACTTTTCCAGCTGGTAGGTACAATCAGTTGTTAGAATAAATCATATAAATAATGGTGCCGTAATTTTTTCTTATTTTACACAATTTCCACAAAAACACAGTATTTTCGTTTCAACACACAACTACCCACTTATTACTACACTACCCACGTGTCTTATTTTAATTTATATTCTTAATTTTATGAAAATGATAATATGGAGTGAAATGAAATGAAATGAAGATGATTCATTTGACACACTAATCAACTGGGATGACATAGAAATGAAATGAGATAAGATGATATGGGATGAATAAGGTTTTTTATTACTGTAAACGAGCAGACCAGCTGTTGCCTCATTTTCCGGAGACTAATGGCTTTGAAATCACCTACAGTTAGTAGGTCTTGTACTACTGGGGGAAGTGTTACCAGAGTGTAAACACTAATAATTACACTCATTCTACAATAGTGTAAGTGCCAATTTTTGGATGATACCTAGGTTTACGCATAAGCTACTTTTATCCCGAGAAACTTAATCATTCCATTATTTTTTTAATAAATTCAAAGAAAACGAAGCGACTTGGCGCGTCTACTTAAAAAAAAAACTCACGACAAAAACTGTTCTACTTCGTAACGTCCCCACGAGCTGTCAGTTGCTACGACCAAGTCCATTACAGGTATAGTACGGCCCATGCGGCACTCTCTTTGATTCTGTCGCAAGATTGACGCTAGAATGAAACGTATCCCTATTAAATATACCAGTAGAGATTCGCAAGTGAAATATTTAAAATATATAACGAGCACATTGAATTTCTGTGTGTGTGTGTGTGCGTGTGTGAAATAGTCTTTTGGCTGTCATGTAGGTAGGTCACCGGTGCCCCGCCCACTGAGTTTCTCGCCGGATCTTCTCAGTGGGTCGCGCTTCCGATCCGGTGGTAGATTCTGCGAAGCACTGCTCTTGCTAGGGCGGTGTTAGCAATTCTCCGGTTTGAGCCCCGCGAGCTCACCTACACAAGCTAGGGTACGCTGAAGTAGCCTCTCAAGGCTATCAGCATAGGTAGGAACAAAAAAAAACCGGTGCCCTACCTGGCGCACTGAAGTAATTATGTATTTTGTTTTTAATGTATGTTTTAGTCTTTTAGCTCTCTTAGAAATAGATCTATTCTCAGTATCTTCAGGTTCCTCTTTCCCAGAATCTACTAAGTATTTCGCCGCATTAGTTACCGAAATCAACATAATCACTTGAGTGCGCCATGTAGATAACCGTTGCTCTACATGTAAACTACATGTGACTCTCCTGTAAAGTTGCAAAAATGTCGCTTAAACCAAATAGACTTTCACACCTTGATATAACAACAAATGCGACACCGGTCAGTTGACGAGTGTTGGTATATAGTAATGCACCATATTTTCTTTTGTTTTTTAGTGAACTTCTCTTTGTCAAAGAGTAAGACGGCGCAATTTGAGACTGAGCGTGCTCTTTTGTTGTTTTTCCCTGATAGTCACGTGATGCAATAATTCTTAACGAGAAAAATAGAGTTCAAAAACAAAACAAAACTACATTTAAATTATAAACCGAAATAAAAATTGAAAATATTTTTTTTATCTTAGCTATCCTGGTCATGGTATTATTAGGTTATAGTTATGAAGCCATTGTCATTGGCTTTTGATCACATGTAAACTTTTCAGTGGAGAAATTACGTTAAAAGATACATAATAAATTCCTAAACAGTCGCTGACAGATTACGTATTTATAGATAATTGAACTTACACAAATAATCTGTGAATGCAGTCACAGCGGCTTCGGTGATTCGTTCCATCTCATCCTGTGGTATATACACAGTTATTTGCCTCAGAGATAACACAGAAGCAAACCTAGCAACCTCCGTCTTTAAATCAGAACTATCAAAGACGTCAGTGAATAGGGACAATCTATTACAAGCCTTAACGTTAGGATCAAATGAAACACCTTCGTTGGAGTAGTACATGTCTATTACTTGAGACAATCTTAAAGATCTTCTTTGTTCTACCCATTTCGAAATGTACCTTGACAAAATCAAACCTAAAAGGAAATAAAAACTAGTCACCATCAATGTTAGACGAGAAAATTTCACTAATATGCATAAAATTTGCAACAAAAATATGATAAGATTTGAAACTTCACCGTCGATTCCAGCTAATATTTCTGCATCAGTGATGTGCCAATCAATGATTGAAGCATTCTGAGGAAAAATGTATAGCGCACGAGGAAGTAGCGTATCGTTCCATCTATTATTGGTGCCTATGTTCATTCTTTGCGAAGAGGCACCCACTCTAGGACCTTGGTTAACTACTACTTCAGCCAAATCACCTGGAACAACAAAATGCTTCTAAACGTATTTACATCATCAAAATAACATCGTACGTAACTAGGAATTATGGCCAATGGATTGCAATGAAAGATACGTTTTATATGACACCGAAATTCCACGAATCCCTACAGCTCTCTGGCGGTGTTGGGTCCTTTGGGGTCAATCTTTCAGTTGACGTTCAAGTAATTTGGAGTGTTAAGCTTTAGCAGAGTGAAGCAATACTCCACTTCTGAACTAATACATACTTTTGCTTCACGTGCACAATGTTCGCATCAAGTACTGCCCCCCGTCGTTGTGACCAAAAGGATATAACGCAGCAACGGCGGATCCAGGGGGGGGGTCATGAGGTCATGACCCCCCCCTGAGCTGGTTCCAGGACTTAGGTGAACCACTAATTGAACCTAATGATTTTATTTATATATTTTGTCACTATACAGATTTTATGTAACTACATACATTCAATATTTAATTAATTTAATATAATATAATAACTCTGTATGATGGCAAGCGTTCGGGAACGAGCGCATCGAAAATTTGAATATGTGACCCCCTCCTGGCGCCAAAGCTGGATCCGCCCTTGTAACGCAGTGTACCGGCATCGGCTGTGAGATGTCCTAGAATAACACTACGTATCTTTTCCTGTGGGTGTCGTTATAGGTTACTAATGGATTCACTCGAGAATCCGCAGCGTTCTATGAGTAAAATACCCGTATGTTGTAATCACTAATCAGTTGGTGGTAGGTCTTATTATAAATAATATGACTCATGTCCAAAGAAAGGTGACGGAATTCATATTGTAATGTCCATGCTCCAGTTTTCACGAAAAACCAAGCAAGTCCTGTGAGTTCATTCGCCCATCCACATAAGAAAAATTCTTAGCCTCCGAAGTTCCCAGCTTTTCCACGTGACTCCACCTATTTTCACAGAAATGGGTCTAAATAATATTCGCAGAGACCACCGGCCATTGTAGGTTTCAGCTAAATCCGATTTAGCTTCGACCTTAAAATCACTAAATGCAAGGCAGATAATTTGTAATTTGTAAACGTTTGCTGGAGCATATTATACGCACATAGGTAGGTACGTAGATATTATCATAACGTGAATAATGTCGTCAACACAAAACAAAGAGAATACAATACCTAGCGAATGAGGTCGAATTCTTGGTTAGAGAGAAAGAGTGAGAGATTTAGATTGGAGTAAAAGCCACTATTCCTTTCGAGTTAAAGTACATGATTCTTTTTTTAAATTTTATTTTATGCTTATATGGGTGGACGAGCTCACAGCCCACCTGGTGTTAAGTGGTTACAGGAGCCCATAGACACCCACAACGTAAATGCGCCACCCACCTTGAGATATAAGTTCTAAGGTCTCAAGTATAGTTACAGTTATAGTTTAGGGCCGAATAAGCTTGCTTGGTCAGTTTAGTAACACGTACATTTGAGGAACCGAATTTCAGTTTGTTCTAACTTTTATATCTTTATGAAATCTTGTTACTGAACGTTCGATAACAATGCAAACATTATATTGAGCTGAGTTATCGATTTGGAATCTAGCTAATAACGGAACCAAGAATAATTGTCATTAAGCTATTCGTAAACGCATCTTATAATCCAGACCAGTACAAAAGCTTTGCTTTGTAATTAACTTATTATACCTAGTGTTTGTTCAAACACTTTAACTCTTATATAGATATATCTCAATGTCTCATGATCAAGTTGAATAATTCTTACCTCCGAGTGTGGCTACCCAAATATTGTTTATATCAACATTCTCGATCTGTTTTTGATTATTTGTATCAAGAGTTTCTATGTTTTCATACCAGTCTTGTAAAGCTAAATTAATTAGAGGTTCAGCTACGTCTTCCTTAAAAATATTAGCGTTGAAAATGTCGCTCATCGATACTCGTTGATTTTCAAGAGCTGAGGCTACAGCAGCCATGACTGTCCCAGGAGATATAGTTCCCCATTCAGTTTGTATTACTCCATCTTCGATTGGACATCTGCTGATGATACTGAAAACGTTTAAATTTAATAAGTGATCACTCATCGTAATACGTAAACTATACAGAGCTCTTAAATCTATAAAAATCATTCGTATTATGCATAAAAACATGCAAAAAAAGTCATACAATCAACAAAAAAATCTAGAAATTAATCTATCATACCTAGTATTACTTTGTGATATCATGTTTTGCGATTGTTCCGATGTCAGAGGACACGCAACGTTCTCATCGCCTCTTTCCCATAGTCGCACCGCTGAACTTAGCATCCGATGTAGTAAACATTTTTCTGGTACGGTTAATATTTCATCAACATCCACTAGGTTCTGACTAGGCAAGAATAAATCCATCAAAAGTTTGTATTTGTGAAATTGGAAAGCAGATGCTCTAAATGGCAGCACGAATTCCGTTTCAACCGCTGTTGCGGAAAGCTGTTCTATACCATCTAAACGAAGACTGAAAAGACAGAGCTCCAGTTACCACACATACGTACCTTCAACTTATTTCCAAATCTGATTATAGCCATTTGATTTGGTGTTAATAAGAAAATGCCGTTAACACCGGCTTCCTAAGACTATATCTATCTACTACACCGTCGTTCGTCTTCAATAATAATTGCAGGTATGCTGACTTATTTTTCAGAGGGCCGAACCTCCTACGAGGTATCCGCGCCTACACGGGGTATCTGAGACTTGACGCGGGCTCAAGGATATTTTGGGACATTACCGCACCAAGCGACTCCCCTCGCACGCTCTCACCCGACATCCGATCTCCAGCTGAGGTCAGAACCTGGTAAACTTGCCAGGTCGGAATGCTCTCCCACTGTACTTTCGGCAATGACAGCAATGGCAACATAGACTGCAACCACTGACGCGTCGTCCTAGGATCCTGGTGCCATCGTGCTAGTGACGTTAGCGTGCGACGCAGCCTCCACCCCCTCCAAGTCACCTCGTGACCATCACCGGAAGGAGACTGCTTCCTCCCGGGAACCTCATTTTCTATCTTAACTCATTCACTAAGCACTTCTCATGGTTTGCCGATTCACGGACTACAATTTACAAGGGTCAGGATATAAAGAAAAAAGGACAAAAAAGTCTTACAAGGTATTCATACCGCAAATTCTTGGAAATTTCTATTACTCGTAAAATATAATTTGTTTCTCACCTCCTTAGTAAAGCTGGAGTAATCATCCTCATGTCTAGCTGCGTGTGTATCTCGATTTTTCTCAACAAAGACAAAAAAACATCAAGACGCCGGGGTGCAACTAATTCTGGGGCACCATTGCGATAACATGGAAGTAGATGTGTTGGTATACTGGGCAAAATAGCACATTCTGATACTGAAAGTATTTCATACTTTCAATAATCTTGTACATACAAAACTACAATAATTAACGTTAATTTACCCGCATTTATATAATACAATCGGAGAGCATAATTTTCTTGAATTTGAAACTTGAGTACTTACAGACGAATGTCACTGCGTAAAGGAAATACTTCATTTTCAACACTATTACAATAACCTATTCATTTTGAGAAACGAAATAATAAAAAAACAACAACGCGTGCTGTCGCCCAGTAAGGAGTGTTACAATACAGATCACGGTAAGCTGATAAGATAATGAAAATAATGAATCATTGCAAAACTTGTCGTATCTAGTGTTCTAGTCCTGGATTTTTTAATCGTAATTAACAAATTGTCTGTTAAACATTTATAAACCTTTCTGCAATTTTGTAAATTTATGGACTTAATGTTGTAGGTACGATTATACATGATCACTATTACTATAGTCTTAACATTTGAAATTTTTTTTCTGACCTACAAACTGTGAGGGCCACATACGTCCTTTTCCTAATGCCGTAAATCAAACCAGCTCAAGGTGATATCACAGTGCTGCGGTGACCAAGATTTGTAAATCAAAATTAATATTTTAGTAATGCTCAGTGTGCTTAGTGGGAGTTTTTTAACGTTCTCGATTGCGTAAAAATTAACACAAATTTGTTTAAAGTGGGAACGTTTGCCTACGTTTGCCGCTAGGGGCGCTGTTCCAACTGCATACAAATTTGAGTTAACTTTTACGCTATCGAGAACGTTAAAAAACTCGCACTAAGCACTGTGAACTTTACGCATATTTAGTTATCTCAAGTTGAATCCGTGAGCTCGTAAGTACCTGAAATAGCCCCTTAATATAAAGTAGGGAAAAAAGTTATAACATAGTTGAAAACCCGATGAGGTAATGAGATGAATGGCTCCTAAGCTAGTGCAGTTTGTCAGCTGTTAGGCCTTGTCTTCGCTTGAGATTAATATCTATTATTTTTGGTTTAAAAAACTGTGTCCGCTCTGTGTAAAATGATTACAGTATAATGTATCCATAATGTATAGTTTATTCAGAAGTAGTGACTTTTTTAAGCACTAGTGAAGTCCATGAGCGATGGTGACTACATACTGATGATTTTTTTTTTAATTACTTAGATGGGTGGGCGAGCTCACAGCCCACCTGATGTTAAGTGGTTACTGGAGCCCATGGACATCTACAACGTAAATGCGCCATCCACCTTGAGATATAAGTTCTAAGATCTCAGTATAGTTACAACGGCTGCCCCACCCTTCAAACCGAAACGCATTACTGCTTCACGGCAGAAATAGGCAGGCATATTTCTCTATAGGTCCATTACTTATAAGTTGGTGGCACCTTCAATAATTCGAAGCGTTCCTATAAGTATTAAATAGACTACAATATTGATTTGAACTTGAATCCTAACTTAAGACCCCTAAGAAAACCATTTTTACGTTGTTTGTTAGTATTAAGAGCACATTTTTACCAAGATCATAACATGATTTCAATAATTATTGCCAATTTGATTTGGCTGAAGCCGATTGACATTTTCATGAATATTAATGTAAAAGTTTGCTGTTATAAAGTTGCATTGACAAAACAAATCACATGGTTTGTACAAAAAATACTTTAATTTTTACAACACAATTATAATACATGTTAATTTATACTGAATTGTGACATACATACTAAACGTGTTTTGTTAAAATGTTAAGATTTTTAAACAAATATATATTCACGCTCGTATGTTCTCATACCTATGTTTCTTAATAATTAAAATAAAATGTATGGAAAACAATGGCAACATTTTTAAATCTCTAGAGAACATTGTCGGCGATAATAACAAATTGAATTTTAATTTCAATATTTAACTTTTTTAGCACGTTTCGTTTCCCGGTTACGGTTAAAGTTGAAGTTGAATATAAGGGTTTTTTAGACTCACAGAAAAGGCCTATGAGTAAAATCTAGTATTTTTAAAAAACGATTTCATGTTTTGTGTACAATTTTTCTAGTAGGTACAGTATTTTATGTTTTGGGAAATAAAATACACTTTTTCAATTAGGCCAAGTCTGTGAGTGCTTGTTCTTACCGAAATGTATAGCGTGTATGTTATAGATTTAAACTTATGTTACAGCAAGTCTTGCATTCGATAAACTTTTGTAGCTTTTCTTCTAACATTTTCAATCCAATAAGTTTTTAATTTTAATTTTGTTAAAAAATACTGTATGTTTTGACATTTATCTTTGTGCAAACAGTAACTTAAAAACTGTAACGACAGTTTGATATGATATAACAGTCAAATACACCATTAATAACATTGAAGCAATATCAAATATGTCTAAAAAACAAGTTGTAATGAAATGAACACATGAGCTAAAAAATATTTCTTTCTTCGACTAATAAAGTAACTATACATATCGACGCTTGAAAGGCAAACGTGACTAAGCGACAATAACTGCTTTGTACATAAATGATAGGCAATAACCATATTCGATGCGCAAAAAAAATATATTTCTAGGTCTATTAAAATCATTTCAATCCTACAGCTACTAGCTAGATTCTACTACAGCTAAATTCGTTAAAATATTTTTTTTTCTTCAGGTATTTCAACTTTATATTAGTCTACTGTAAAGTTCACGCATTGTCGCTTAGTCACTTTTGTCTTTCAAGCGTCGATATTAATTATAAATATTGAATGGTACTAAGTGACAGTCAGATATAGAAAATATTTTAGCTGTACTTAAAAGATTGTATGCCTTTTATCATTAATTTAGTTACAGTCATTAGTTATACAAGTCTTTGCTTCTTGTCTTATATTATAATACCCTAAAATTACTAATTTAAATGCTGAATTGAATGAATGTATACTGTCTCAACTGATCAACATACTCTATTCAACGAAATGGTGATATGGAGATGTTACTAAAGAATGAAAAATTTTTTTGGTCTTCAATATGTAATATATTACTGCACGAATGTATCATTCAGACATCTGCATAACTGTCATTTTTTTTCTGAATGCTAAAGCTGCACACATAAGAAGTCATTGTACAAGTTTTATGCATATTTCTGTCATTTCAGTTTACAGTTCAGTAATTATCGCAGAACTAATTTGGCAGGTTTTCCATCAATGGTCCTCGAAGATCCATTCTTAAGAGTATATTCTCTTTTAATATATGCAAACAATAAGTCAGTTATAAGGAATATTTGTGCTGTTGCAAAAGATAAGGTGACACCAAAGAAAAAGTTGGCATTAGCTGATCCAGAATATATCCACAAATGCCATACTGTCGGTCCCAAAGCTGAAGTAATGATGAATGCACAGGCCACAATAAATTTTTGTTGCATAACTGAAAAATATATATAAAGATTATGAGTAAACTCAGAAATTATAAAAATTCTTATTTTTCTATGAATAGCTCTTATGCTTTATATTTTTTATTAATAGCTGAATGAAGGGCAATAAAGAATAATTTTAATAATTTTTTTTTTTTTTTTACTATAAGAATTCGCGATAAGAATTATATGGAAATGAAGTGTGCATCATAAAAATTAAAATATTTTTCTTCATTTTATTATCTTATATAATAGCACTTACATGTAAAAAGGTGTTTCCACATTGGTATGAATGCCATATAGAAGCCAACATCACCCACACAAGGGTAAGATCTGAATACAGTTGACAGTGCTAATAGCACAGTCACCAATAATATTGGTTCCTTCTTAAATCGCAAAGTCAATGGTACTATGTACAGTATCAGGGCGTTTATTTGGAAAGCACATACAAACAGTAATCTAAAGTGCTCAAACATTTCCGTGAAAAAGTACCAAAAAAGTCCAATATTTGGTTTTAGGTCTGGAACAGTCAATCTGGAAACATGTTAAATATGAAATTATGAGTATACATATGTTTATATAATTCGATTGACACTTTCAAAGAAATTCAAAATCAACTACTCTTCTTTTATTTTATTGCTGCACTATGTATTTACTGATTAATAGAAATTGTAGAAATCACATTGATAATGAGACTCAATTGTATAGTTTAACAGTAAGTCTTAAGGGACTGCTGGGTAAAAGCTTTACAGTACATAGCCAAAGATGGTTCTGTCTACTGGTGAAAATTCACACACAGAACTATTAATATTAATAATGTACTTTAAAGTTTCTTACAGGCTATTATTTCTATTTCATTTTGTTGTGTGAACAGTCAAAATTTTGTATTGATGACATTTTAGTTACATATTTAAATGGTAATTGTATTCATGACAACATTGAATCTTAACATAGTTCTAACATTTGATACAAGTACATTGGATGTCTTACCATTACCATACCATTATGTTACAAATACAAAGTTAATTAGTTTCTTATTCTATTATCTAGTTTAAAATAAAATTATGACTGACTAATATTAGAAGAAAGTACTTACATAAAACCATATGTATTGTAAACATAATTATAAGAACCATCCATTATAAATGCAGATATATAAACCACAAAGCTCCAACTCAAAACAAAGGCCAACAATGTTTTAATATATGAACATTTATTACATCCCTTGTTCACTTCAGCCAATATCATAGCCGTTGGTACTATCAGTAAGACAGGGTATAATGCTTGATGAGTAGCAAAGGCTAAGAACGCACAGGATATTATCACATATCCATGAGCCGCACCACAAAGTGCTGCAGCTAACAACATATTCTGCAAAACTGTTGTTGTCATCCCAACACAGTTCAATATAGAGTATGGATTAAATAAATAGACAGACAGAACATATTCAGATGTCTCTTTTAACTGACTTTCTGTCATAACCATATCCTTTGATTCCTGAGACACATCTGATAAATATTTCTCTTGACAGTTAAGGAAGATTCTGACAAAACCTCTCGAGGTTTTGTAGAGAAGATACGCAGTGAGGAGGTCCATTGCACTGAATATAAATGGTAGGCTATACGGGACATGTTTTAAAAGATAATGGAAAATCACTAACACTATCGGTGATTCGTGGAAAGCATCTCCTTCGTACGGATTAATGTTTTGGTCGTATAAATAAACACCTTCAATTAACCTCTTCCATGAATTTAAGGGAGTCGCTATTTCTACCCTATTGGATAGTGTATGCCAAAAGTCTGTATGAATAAGCCAATACCTAACTAAGCCGGCTATTACATATTTTACAACCGCACCCATTTTTTGATTAATTACTTATTAATATTTGCAATGTAAAGGACGTATGTGGTACATAATATTGACTTCGTTATATATACTACTTCAATCGTTTTAATTCGTTTTCATCCCAATTACTATCTTTTTCTGACTTTTCGTTCGACATTGGAAAGGAAACAAGCCTAACTGTCATTGTCATTGTCACTGTCTTTTTTTTGAACAGAAATAGCAAAGAGTTTATATATTGTTCGAGTCTATTTTCAACCACGGACGAAAGACAACCATAAAACAAAAGTGAAAATTTATTTATTGCACCAGGGAATATGTAAGATGGTCTTGTAAAAACGTAATCCTTAGATATTTAATGGATAAATATATATTAGATAATAACATGCACTATATTATATTAGTGGACACCACCATGTAGATTATTGTATCACCGCCATCAGGCCATAAAATCTTTATAAAAAGGAAGTCACATTCTTGTCTAATAAGCTCTGATGAACAATGCTCGCGCTCGTTTTCTTTAGCACATGATCGGTGGAAGACCTTCCCTTGCTATTTGTCACCTTAGCATCTTGATTGTAGAAATGGCGAACCCGAAAAAATTGTAGCGTTCTAAGTATAGAATTAAAGCCCCGACGTTAAGATTTTAGTTGTAACATGTATATTATGTTACGCCCTGGGGTTCGGGATAAACAAAATTTCCACCGAAGTACAAATCAAAACTATACTCAATATCTTATGGCGATGGCAGCTGTGTGTTGCCAGGTCGGTTAGGTCAGATATAATATAATAAGACATTTGGTATTTTCTCTGTATGTAATTTTGTAAGCTGCTTGTAGGTGGATCTTAATGTGTATTATAAATAACAAACAAAACTCTATTTCTCATCATATATTATTTATTTTCTCAAAATTATTAATAATTACAATAATTACTGTGTGCTATAGTGCATACTACACTAGGTAGTTTCAGCTGAAAACCTGACACTACAAAAATAAGCGACGATATAATCAGGCTAACCATAGACTCGTCTGGGCTGCGTCTGGCCATACACGAGTTTCCAGGCTATTTTTCAGAGCCATCCCATACACCAAAATTGTCCAAAAGTTGATTGACAATTTAAAAATATATATTACTAGGTTGAAAATGATTTAAGTATATCTGGCACCGCGAACCGATCAGTATGTTATCGAAACCTGCTTGAAGGATATTTTATGGCTCAAAATGCATTTTCATATCCTATTTTCATATTAACCAACCAGTTATTTCATAATTAAATTTCTAAAAACTTTTTACTATTTAAAATAGGTGTATCTTGAAATTAGGCAGTTTGTTCGACTTAAGCTGTCATATTGTCAGTAAGATGATCCCAAGGTTTAACATACTGGCAACTCAATTTGGAGACAGATTTAATTTGCTTTGAATGTTTATTGCTTCTAATTATGTTCTAATCTCTATGCCTAATAAATCAAATTTTACCCGTCATACCTATATACCTAATAAAGATACATCATCTTACTAAAAAAACAAAATATCACAGAACTTTTAATTATTTAAGGAAAATTTATGTACCGCTAGGAAATATCTGATCATAGGGTACTTTTGAGAAAATCTTATTAGCTACGTTTGTGCCAATTTTGTCCCAGTTAGATTGTGCGTATGGGAGAAGCTCGCGGTACAGCACTCTCCAATTTTGGTTCAAGAAACTCGTTCCTAGATTCGCTGCAACAAAAATTACATGATACAAAGTATAGCTAAGTTCAACAATGAAAAATTTTGTTAGTAGTGTTTGATATTTGCTTGAAGCTTATGAGGGAAATTTCGTTAATGAAGACTCCCATTTCCTTGGGAAGGAAATGAGCAATGTCGAAGTGGGGTAATGTGTCAGCTTAAAACCACCATGCGTTTTTTACCTTTCTTGGAAGATTTTGTCGATTACCACGTAAACATTATACCAACAATAAAGACGCGGGGCCTACCTTCAGATACCCCTCTGAAAGTACGTTGGACACGGCAAACACAAGCTCTACGAATCCCTCTAGTGGGTGCTAAGATTAGTGACAGTATGTAAAATTAAGACATTAGGGAGGACAAGAGAATTAAATAAATAAATTAAATAATAAATAATAATAATAAAATAAATTAAAATTAGTATTGACTGTGCTTCTTCGTTAATCTTGCGTTTCATTTCGTATATTCATTAATAATTTTAAATAGTTTAATTTAATAAAATCGGACTAACTCAATTCTCTAGTTTCCGGATTTTCATTGTTCAAGTGAGAGATCATATTTCCCACGTCTGGCCGCATGTAGAACGATTTTATCCGTACGTATGTATCCGTACCGTTTTTCTCGGGAACTCCGTCTAATTTCCACGTAAATATTAAATCAGCTAGAAATAAAAAAGGATTTTTTTTGTTAATTAAAGGTAATAACAATAGTTATGAGAGGCTTAATTTCTTTTTTAATATTTTAATAAAAATAAATGTATTTTATAACACTTTGTTGCACATTAATAGTTTGATTGGTTTTGTTTAGAAAATATTCGGGTTGTGTATGTCTAGAATATTAAGGTGGCATCTTACCATTCTAAACAGACCCAATTCGCCGTGTTTTTTTTTGGAAAAAAGGAATTGCGGCGTGTTTTTTTTATTGCTTAGATGGGTGGTCGAGCTCACAGCCCACCTGGTGTTAAGTGGTTACTGGAGCCCATGGACATCTACAACATAAATGCGCTACCCACCTTGAGATGTAAGTTCTAAGGTCTTAGTATAGTTACAACGGCTGCCTCACCCTTCAAACCGAAATGCATTACTGCTTTACGGTAGAAATAGGCAGACCGGATGATTTGGCCGACGAATTTTGGATGAGACTTCACCAAGACAGGTGAGCGAACACGAGCTCAGCCAGGAGGGGTAGTATTTTCTAACAGCTACCCGAGCGCTTCCAAAAAAGACCTAAAAGCTCAAGGCAGCTGCTTTGAATGAATCTATTATACTACCTGATCGGAATCGCGTACCCCTGAGAAGATCCAGCAAGGCTATCACGTTGAGCCCTTCGCCGAATTCGTCGAATTTTAATATAATAGGTTATATGAGCCGAAAAATATTGAAGCTTAAATTTTTTCACTGCATTAATTATATTACGAATATATCATAAACGAATTTCAAAATTTTGTTAAGGTACGTACACATGCTCGTGTTGAAATCTCCGTATGCTTTGACCTTTAACGCGTTGTATTGGCCTTCACCTTTGAAATCCCCACGAATAACTATACTTGGGGCACTTAAGTCTACTTCCATGTAGAAATTATCTTCGTCTGCTCTCACCCTGTAATCATTTTGAAGTATGCTATGATATGTATTTTGAATTATTACTTTGTATACAGTTGTATCAATGATTTTTTCTATGTTTTACACCTAAATACGTGAAAACTAAAGTTGTAAATTAATTTATGTATGTTAAAAAAGGCAAATTAACTCGGACATGGACAACAATACTTAATCTACCTACTTGTCTAATTTCATTAACACGTTCTAGTTTTGAATGTTTATATTTAAATACAGTAACAGTAACATTATAATAAAACAATACTCCGTTTAATTTGAAACCTTATTTACCGTTATTATAATTTACCATTTACCATTATTATAATTTAAATATTCATTGTTATTGCTCATTTTCTCGTCTTTGTTAAATATTCTTGTGTTATAAAAACGGCAGAGAATCATGATAGCATCAAACAGAGTTAGGTATGGAGTACAAAACGTGTTTTGTTTTAATGATCAGTCGCTTTGCATTCATTCTTTTTATTCAAATGTTTATCTACGTATTAATATATTGTACGTACTAAAAAGACGATTAACGCAATGAAAGAATTAATTCGAAAAAATCTTGTTTAAAAACAAAGTACGTGGAAATGAATACCGAATCTATGTGACGTATTTTAAACGGGAAGAACTTAGGACTTTCAGTCGATAAGAGACGCACTCGAATTGAATAGGATAGTAGAATCAAAATAAGGTTTTAGGTATTAAATGAAGAATTTAAATAATTAATGACAATAAACTATTTTACTACTGAGCAACGTTTTAATATTTAAAGTGACCGTTCTGTAGTCTGTACCATATTGAAGCTTCTAAATTAGTCAGTAGGTGACAACAAGCATTATTCGGTTTCAGTGAAAATCTTTGGGTAGAGTGTTAGCTATAATTGCTATGAAAGAGTCACTACCCCATATTTTCTGAAAAGGGTATCAGAATATCAGCCCAAGACCCAAGTATATCAAGATACGATTCTTGTTAAACCTCTCTAACAACATCTCACTCTATAACTGATAATTAGGTATCTTCTAAGCAAAACCTATAATAATAATAATGATAATATAATAATAATAATATAATTATAATAATAATAATTATTTATTTATTTCTCTCTTAAAGGTATAGTACAAACACAGATAGAAATTAACCTTATACTTTATTTTGTAAGCCTTTGAAAGAGCTGAAGTCTGTACTAGGTTCAAAGACCTGTATTACTGATCCATGGAGTTGTGGAGCTATATCCATAAAATTGCAATTCTTTTGAACATTTTTGAATTCAGCAGAGCCTCAGCTCTGCCTCGGTTCTCAAACCGGCCCTCATCTAGTTCCGATATTAATCTGCTTAATGCATGCAGGCATGTTCTAAACGCCAAGATAATTTAGAGTTCCTAAACATTCAGTATGATTGGTGGTTACGAATTTTTCCATTTAGAAAGTGTGTTCCATCGATAACTGGCCTCAACGCTTAAAGGACTGTATTAAGATCATTAGGGATAATTTTGAATAAGCTTTAGCTCTTTGAGCTTAATTGAGCTACTGAGCTTAATTTTTCAAAATGCTAATTTATTAACTGGACAATGTGGTAGTAAAATTAAATGTATGACGTAATAGAAAAAAAAACACGATATTTTCGTTGTCATTTTTACAAAGGGAAGAAAGAGGTTTGTTTTTGCTTTATGTAAAGTGTGTGTTATGTTTGAGTATACATTAAAAAGTCCCATTTATAATTTATAATTAATAATTAACTAAAATACCAAAAAATAGTCACACAATATTGAGTTGTGACAAATAATAAATAACTTACCTCGCGTCGTGTACTGTTGATCCTTTAAGCCCTTCCACGTAAATGTTTTTAATTAACATCTTTACTGCGATCTACAAGGAAAAAAAACTTTAAAAATACACATTAGCAGTTTTTAAATGCCATATATTATATAAAAACATGATTTTATACAACAAAACCGAAGCCGTTTTTTTGTTTGCACGAAGACAGGTGAATTGGTGCCCTAATTGGCCATAAATGGGTATCAATCGTTAAACAAAACGTCCGTCATGAGCAAACCAAAATTTTACTTGTCGTTGAATAAGTATCACATCTATGTTTTAATAGAACTATAAAAAAGTCAGGGTGCCGCCTGCTGCGTTGCCATTGTCTATATAACATATGGACATAAGAGCTTTTTCAATTCAGTACTCATTTTAAAATTTTTCATTTTAACAGAAACATCAAATATTGAAACAACCTTCATTTGAATACCAATTGCAATAAGGAACTAAGCATGTTATTATTTCAAATGACCTTTGCCTAAAATTAACTTACTGAAGCGACGTTTTGGTATATCGAGTTCTTAAATGCATAGGTTCTTTAATTTGTACATAATATTATTCTTTTTCGAAATCAACGTCTAAGTTTTTAGATTTACATTTGTGTTGTCATGCAATTTTAATTAGTCGCGTACAAGTAATAATAATTACTATATTCACGGCAAAATAGTTTCAAGAGTCATCATGCTATTACATAAATTGACGCAGAACAAAGAAAAAAGAAACAGAAATAATGACTTCCTGTTTTCGACAAACGTGTACTTTTAAATCTTATTTGACCGAGAAAAATCTGTCTAAAGTAAAGACTTAAAACACGAAACTAAATAGTAATTGGCTCTAAAATTATTTCCAGCTAAACATTAATAGGCGCTATGCTCTAAGATTACTTTTATTGCTGTAGATCTGTGGTCGTATTTACGGCCCATATGCTTACTGGAACTCATACGGATATCTTAACGTGAATGCCACCGCCCACCTTGAAACATGAGGTTCAAGTCTCACTTGTGTTTTATAACGGCTGTTCTATCCTTCAGTGTGCTTAATGCGAGTTTATTAACGTTTTCGGTAGCGTAAAAGTTAACTCAAATATGTATGCAACCGCGCCCAAAGCGGCAAAAGTAAGCAAACGTTCCAACTCCATTCAAATTTGAGTACACCATTACGCCATTGAGAACGTTAAAAAGCTCGTACTTTTTTATCCTAGCTACGCTGATAGCCTTGAGAGGCTATTTCAGCTTTGTCCTAACATGTAGGTGGGCTCACGGGGCTCAAACCGGACTGTTGCTAACACTGGCCCTAGCAAGAGCAATGTTTCGCAGAATCTACCACCGGATCGGAAACGCGACCCACTGAGAAGGTCCGGCAAGAAACTCAGTGGGCTGTGTCTATGGGTTAACTCGTACCTACTAAGCGCACAGATCGCAACGCCTAATTGTGTCTCGTTAATGTAAGCGGGATGGTCGTACCACCCGTACGCGCTCTTATTATGCCCTGTCACTAGTATCAAAATTATATTTTTGTGCGCATTTCCTTTTTGTTTCCATCGTCGGCTTGTTAGAACTTACGTCTTTTTTTTATCTATACTCTATACTAATATTATAAAGAGGAAAGATTTGTTTGTTTGTATTGAATAGGCTCCGAAACTACTGAATCGATTTGAAAAAATCTTTCACTGTTTGGAAGCTACACTATTACCGAGTGACATAGGCTATAATATTTAAAAAAAAAAATTGGGATTCTTACTAAAACTGCAATAATGTAACCCAAGGTGTAAAAAAATTATCTAAAATATTCTTTACATCGCGTGCCCTGCGAAAACGATTGATGATAAAATAAAATAATGTACTACGACTTTGTAGAACACATTATTATTTAAAAACAGTTTCGCGACAGCATATGTCTAATTATTATAGCTATGCCGCAATACGTGTTCTTTTATTAAAAAAAATAAAACAACGTCAAATATCGTTGAAATTTTTGTTAAAGACCCGTGAGGAGCCGGAGCGGGCCGCTAGTATAAAATAAAATTATACTTGTCGATCATGTAATCATCGCAATATTGAGAATAGTTAAATATATTTTCTGTATTAACAATAATTATGCAGTACGGTGACGAATGGCGACAAGTGGCCCCATATTTGTATAAGGATAAGCCCAGTTAAGCTGACTAAACAAGGAATAATTGGTCCCCAATAAAGGTCAACATGGATCNCGTGCCGCGCAGTCATCGACAATTTTAGACGTCGTTTGCAAGAGTGCCGTGATCGCAACGGATTACATTTAGGAGATGTTATTTTCAAAAAATAATTCCCGTTTTTTAAGCTTTTTATGTAAATAAAAATTTAATTCATAATGTAATTAGTTTTATTTTAATAATTTTTTTTTCATATCAAAGGACTTATGGGCCACCCTGTACATACAAACTAGTAAATCCATACAAATCAACTATGTAGTTTATTTTGTTACTTTGTCATGAAAGAACGCTTCTTGTTCAAGTAGCTAAGACTAGAGTATCAACTAATTTGCGACCGATTTCAGTTATTTGTCAAGGTAAAAAAATCATATGACTAAATATTTATGCTAAAAATGATTTCGCCTTTTGCAACAATTGTTATTGTTACAATCAATAAATTCTTATTAATGTGAGATGTTCATTAATTTTAACATTCAAATTAATCTATCACGTATCCGTAGTCGGAATCACTATCAAATCAACAGTAATTGATACAAAATTACCTAAATTTTTGTTTCTTTTTTCTTCAAAATAGGTCTAAGGTTGATGGCAGTATTCTCTTTGTTGATGTCTATGGACTCCGGTAACCGCTTTACATCAGGTAGGCCGTGAGCTCGTTCACGCATCTAATAATAATAATAATAAAACAACATTAATGAATAATAAAATAAATGATGAGTTATAAAATGAATATGAATATTCAAGTTGTTAATTATTTAAATATGATGTGTTTTTTGTTGCATTTTTATTGCTGGACATGAATCGTCTGCATAGAAACGTATATATTTATATAGGGATATAAATATAATGTACATATATGTATATTTTTTTTTTCTATTCGCTGGTAGCCTGAGAGGGAATTCCGAATTCCAGCCCCGTCCCGACGGGTAGGTGAGGTCACCGATTCAACCTGAGAGAATTTGCTAACACTAGCCCTTGCAAGAGCAGCGCTTCGCAGAATCTACCGTCGGATCGGAATCGCGACCCTCCGAGAAGATCCGGCACGGAACTCAGTGGGCAATATATATACCATTTATACTATATACATATGATTGTTAAGACGATCATAAAAATGTACATTACAAAAATAAATCACAATTACGAAACTATGTTCAAATTTAAATCTAATAAACGTAAATGCTGATTCGTGGGATCCATTAATAATAAAAGGTCGAAGCTCACAGACAAAGTCACCTCTAGGATACATATAATGTTAAGTTCCAGTTTGGAGTTCCCAGGTAGGTTTTTTTTTCATATTAAATATAAAATGTGTTCATTTAGATGTTGAGATTATGGGTTTTTTACGTTCTTCTGAGAATATTCGTTCTCACCTCCAAAAACTTCGTAGTAACTTATTTAATTGTAAATGAAGAATTTTTCGAACATATTATAAGTACAAAAAGCATAATTATTCTATTTTATACACAGAACAGAATAAAAACTCGCCCCATAGAAATCTTAGTTCTCTTGTTGTCTTATAAAAAAATCTTATGATCTTGATTTTATTTAAATAGTTCACTAAAATAGCCTGAAACTGTTGAAATGCAACTTGTTTCTAGCACATCAGTATATTATTATAATTTATCCACAACAAAGTCAGCTTCCATGCTAAAATTGTCCTCAGCAACCGAAAATAACAATATTATTGTTAATATATGCATATATGTACCAATATGATTTCGATTAGTATTGATTCATTCATTTCATGTGTGGCTCATTTGACTACACAAAGACCAGAGTACATTGCTACCAAAAATGTACATTATTCAATTAACATCGAGTACAAAATTAAATATGCACTATTACAATACTTTATGGAACTTACTTACATGTTTTTAAGTACTGGTAATTTAAATCATTGTATGAGAAATAAACGTTCCTCAGTGTGTTAATGCAATCAGTTCGACTAATTAGATACTGGTTGTAGTAAAGGAAACTCAATAAAAAGTTTTAATTACGTTGTATTAATAGTTGGTCGCAGAAAAACTTGCCTGGTTGTTTTTATATTCGACTTTAAGTTCGTCTTGGAAAAACGGATCCAGGGGTGGTATATCAAGCTCCTCGATGCCTGTCGCCATTTTTTCGATTCCGTCACGAACAGCTTCAGCTATACAATCATTTAAATCCAACGAATTTCGATTGCATACTTTCAAATGTTTACCTGAAAAAGCCGTAAAATTACATGTTGGGTACTGTCGCTGTGTGTCCGAGATAATATCCTAAGTGGGTGCTATGTTATATGAAGATAAATTATTAACATTAAACACGTAATTTGGCGACTCTAAAACACTCTATATGATTGGTAGTGGCGACTTAGCATAATATAAAAGGCGAGTTTCAATCGATAAAAAGGCACAACGTTTTGAATCTAGATATTTTTAGAATACTCTTCGATTAGTGGACAAATAATCGCGAAGCAAATCAATATTTCAGGTAATAAAAAACAATTGTTTCCTTTTAACTATATTTATGGCGACTCTAAGTTTTTGTTTTTCGAGAGGAAGAGCACTTACTCGAACCGTGGGAAGTAGTAGCATAGGAGATATTAAAAAAAAAAATGAAACTAGAAATTTCGTGTTTCCCATCAATTAATTTGTTGATGAGAAATACAAATCTGTGATAGAACAAGTTATTAAATGTTATAAACAAATATAGCAATACTGTAATCTTATAATTCGAACATACTATGTTACAAGATCTGTTGCATTAATAAATTTTCGTTATCACTGCACGTGTATTACTAAATGTATTTATATATTTTCCTACAAGAAATTTCACCACCCAATGGATAACAGAATAGAAGCAAAATAACAAAAATGATATGTATCAACTGTGTTAATTGATAAAAACTTTATGCAATGTCATCGGCGTGAAATATTTCCAGGGATTAATGTATTAAATAATTAGGGTACTTAGATATTATAAAGGTATTTAAAAAAAACATTTTCTTTGCAATTTCGATATTTTTTTTGCGTACATACGAGGGCGGCACTGAAAATTTCGGGAATTAACGAAGTGACACAACATTACTATTTAAAAATGTATTTATTGCTTTTCGAAGTATTCTCCGCGAAATTTGACACATTTTCCATACGATGGAACCAATCATTGAAGCAACCATTCCATTCGGAAGTTGGGGTCTCCAAAATGAACGTTTTGTAGGCGTCCACAGCTTCTTCAGGTGATGAAAATCTCTGTCCACGCAATTTATTCTTTATTTTAGGGAAAGTATAGAAATTATTAGGGCTTAGGTCGGGGCTGTACGGCGGATGGTCTAATAATTCTATGTTTTCTTGCTCTAAAAACTCTTTTGTTCTGTGTGCGGTGTGAGAACTCGCATTGTCGTGATGGAGGATGATGCGGCGGTTGCAGTTCTCTTTACGGAGTTCAGAAACGACCTGTGGCAAAAAAATGCTAGCATACCATTCTGCATTAACCGTTCTTTGTCCCTCAAGAGGAATAGTCGTAACGTGGCCGGTTTTGGAGACAAACGTGGCCACCATTTTTTTTGCAACACTCCGTGAACGAACAATTTTTGTTGGCTTTAACTCATTTTCGAACACCCAAACTCGTGACTGGTTTTTTGTTTCGGGTTCGTACGCGTATAT